TATGTATGTATGTATGTATGTATGTATGTATGTATGTATGTATGTATGTGAGGGTGGGTTGCCCAGAAAATGGCCAGCAGCTGTGCTGTATTCATCCTGTTTCTTTAAGGCCTCTCCACAGAGAACAGGGCAGCTATAAAAGCTGTGCTGAGAAGAGTTGGGGTGGTTACGTCTGTGAGAGGGAAGAGAAACAGAGCAAAAAGGTGTGTGTTAATGTGTAAAAGTAAAGCAGCTTGAATTAGCTAGTTTTCTCTAGCAGTATTCACCAGGACTGGAAGTAGTAGGATTCACAAGGAGCAATAGATTAGGAGGAGTGGAGAAGAGTAGGGGTGAGTAGTAATCGCTTGTGAATACTTGTGTACGGGTTGTCTAGGGACCTGAATTGTGCTGGCTGTTTTGTGTTTTGAGCCAACTGAATTGAATATACTTAAAAGAACCTGTGACAAAGTAATAGTAATATCCAACACAAAGTAATATCCAACACAAGGTGCCAAACACCAAGTGCAATTGGCTTAAACTCAAGGAATTCATTAAATATTCTATGAAAAGAAAACAAACCTTGGTGACAAAAGGGAGTTTGACCTGTTGCAATGCTCAGGCTTTGCAGGCAATATCCAACAACCTGGCTGCGGAAACCAGACATGTCAATAGAGCCTACACCAAACAGACATGGAAAAAGGCAAAAGGCAGATTCTCCCTTAGAAGAGATTACTACTTTTGTAGAGACATATCCACTCTAAACCAGTAATTAAACCAAAGAAGAAAACTGACCAACCAGAAAATGGGCTAGGCGCTGATATCATTGGAAAAATTTTGAAGCCACGGCAAGAAGAAAGGCTTTGATTAATTAGAAGAGCTTTGGAGGGAGACAGAGAGGAAAGAGTCTAGAATGTGAGACGTGTAAAAGAGAAGCATGAAAAGAAGAGGATGGGGACCTCATATACTTCCAGAAAGGGCACATTCATCTTTAAGATTTTCCAAACATAATAGGGAAGATGTTACATAAAAGTACATAAAAATATAAAACTCCCTAAATTAATAAGAGGAAGAAGACATAGAAGCTTAATTTAATATGTTTGAAAGAATTATTACCTCTTGTAAATGTCCTGAATGTGTGGTCAGAATTGCCCCATGTTTCATGGGAAAGGCTTTGAGAACTTATAATACTCTTCCAGTGAGATAGGTAATGGATTATTACTATGTTAAAGGGATATTATACAGGTGTATGGTGTAAGCCCTTATAGACAGGGGTTTAGGAGTTACACATCTGGCAAACATGAAGAGATTTGTGAGTTAGACTTTTATGTATCTTGTTGTTGTTGTCAACTAGGTTTGCATGGCCCAGATCTGGTAGCATAGCTCAGCCCAGAAGTTTCAAACTTCAAACTGAAGTTCTAGCTTAAGGATATTTACTTCTTTGCCCTGTTATGATAATAAAAAGCCTGTTTTAATGCATATTAACCTGAGAATAATTTTTATTGAACTCAAAAGACTCTTGTCAGTATATTGAGCTTTATTTTCACAGAGGAAGTCAATTTGCCTATTCACTATTGTGCATAATTTTATTGCTCAACCTAATTTAAATTATAATGTGTTCACTAATTCCAGTTCACCTTATGCCAAGTATCATAAGAAAAATGAAATTGTTTACAATAATCAACAACATAAGCACTTAGCAATGAAGGAAGATTTAATATTGCCAATATTTTATTCCAAAATTTAGTTCTCTGATATATAAAGAAAAATGTGATTCCGAGAATATGCAGAATATCTTCACATCATTATAATTGCCTTTTCATGATCAAGATGCTAAGTTTTAAGGATGGGAGGTTCCTTTCCCTCTGGAAACAAATAAAATGAGTGTGGTCAGACAGTTAAACAGTATATATTTAGTCACCAATTTTGTAAAATTAATTTATCTTTATACATTTCTGTGAAAAAAGGGAGGAAGAGGGGAAGAAAGAATGAAAGTTTCTATCACCTTCCTTATCTTGGGCTTATTTATCCTGCTTCTTGAGGCTAACCCAGGAATCAAGGTGAAAATCACACAAAAAGCGTTGGACTATGGTGAGTATGGAAGAAATATTTAGAATTATGACTATGTTGTAACCTTCAGAAGAACAAGCGCACCAGAGGACGTTTAATCAAGATGTTGAACCAAATGCCAACTGTGATGGTACCAGTTAAGGTCAATAAACAATTTATCTTCCCCTTAAGAGGAAATTTCCTCTAAGTTCCTACAACAAGGGTGGGATATTATAATAATTGGTTACACAATCAGCCAGATGTTAGGCTGGATTTGGCATTTTTATCCACCTATTGAGTCTTTTCCAAAGACTTGGGATAGGATGTTGTTTAAAGGTGTTAAAGGTATCATTACAGGATGGAAACTGTTCCAAGTAAAGCTGTCTTTTGCAATTGATTGATGGTGATTTTGCCATTGCTGATGGTGTTCAAGTGGTTGATTTAACTTTGGCAAAATTGGCAGCATATAATTTTAATAACTGGCCCTCCACTGTTTTGGGATTGCACCCAAAGTACCTACTACTATTAGTACTCTCTTTGCTTTCTTTTGCCACAGTTTTTTTTTTTACTTTTCTTGTAAATTTCTATATTTTGTTATTTTCTCTACTATTTTCTCTTCTGCTTCCAGTACTGCAATACCCACTATCCAAACTTTTGTGTCATTATATTATTCAGTAATAAAATAATGCATGGCCCTCAATCACTGTAAGGAGATCTTTAACAGTATTCTGCATAGGATGGACCAGTGCATTTTCAAAATGTTTTTGTAACTTAAAATGCAATAAGTCATTCCTAGCAATCACTCCAGACTGATAAAAACAGAGAAGCAGAATAAGAAGTAATGCAAATTTCTATAAATTACTATTTCAGTGACCTATATCATTTTTGCTTATAGGTAATCAATTTGGAGTAGAGCTTGTGAAGCAGAAATTAAAGGAAAAGACCTTTGAAGACTGGAATGGAGAATCTACATATGGATTTTTTGCACTCAATTACGCAATTTCAAAGTAAGAAATGTTTTCATAACAGGGCTCTTTAGTATAGCTCAGTGTTAAGTACTACCGATGGTTTTCTATCCCTCTTAGGCAATATGCACCTATTAATTTCACAACCCTGTCTGTGAGCAAGCACTGTTTTAATACAGATTTCTCAAAGTTACAGTTCTTTACTACACCCAGAAAACCCATCTGATCTTTTTTTTTCAACTTTAGTTTTGAAATGGATGGATGAATGTAGGCGTTCTTTCTGCACTTATTGGAATCTGGTTTCCAATTGAAGAGATTACCTGGTATGACCATCTTGTAGCCATCTCCCAGTTTCTGATTGATGTTTCACATAGCCCAATTTAGTAAGATGCCTTTCTTATCTTTCTATTATGGGCAAGGTCCAACAGCCATTTCTAGTCTCTATAAAACTAAGCCAGTAATCTCAAAGGATGGTAGAAGATTAAACTGCTGCCATGTTTGAGTCACTAACTGAGCAAACCCAGCCTTGATTTCAACAACACAGAGCAATATATATTCAGGCACTGAACACAGAAGGCCTAGTTATTCTCTTACACAAATATGTCCAAGTGCTTAAGAATATACAAAAAAAACCCTATCAAGTGATGAGTCTCCCAGGGTAGCATTCTTTCTAAATCTCCTGGTTGAATTATAACTGATCTTCTGGAAACTGGAAACTAAGTTTTTTGGGGAGACTCTTTGAGAAGTGAATAGTCAGCATCTTACCTGTGATACTGTGATCCAAATGTGCTTTTCAAAAGGCAACTGGGCTTTCTTGCTCTTGTGGTCGGCAACATCATCATCACATGAACAACTGCAGGACTCAGGAAAGTCCAGTTGCCTTTTGAAAAACACAAGCATGGGATAAGCCTGATCTGGACAATTTAGAATTTCAATAGATATTTAGCATTCATTTGTGATATTAGATTAGATTAGATTAATTGTCATTGCACTTCATACAATGAAATTAAATACCATCTTCAGTGTACATTATAACTGTAAAAATAAAACACAAACACACAACCTTCACATTCTATACAATTGAATTGAAAACCCCGATATTGGATTAATATTGCACTATACAGTAGAATTCAATATAGTAACTGCTCTGGGATAGAAGCTGCTTTTCAGTCTATTTGTCCTTGCTTTTTATTATCCTGTACTGTCTGCCAGATGATAATAGTTCAAAAAACAGGATACCCAGGATGAGATGGATCTTCAAGAATGTTTTGAACTTTCTTAAGGCAGCGGGAGCTATAAAGCTCTTCCAAAGAGGGGACAGGGCAACCAATGACCCTCTGGGCAATGATGTTAACCCTCTGGAGCACTGTCCTATCTGCTACTGTGCAATTGACAAACCATACACAGGTCCAGTAAGTTAAAATATTCTCTATGATGCAGCAGTAGAGGTCACCAGCGTTTTTTCATTCAGTTGTTGTTTCCTGAGAAGTCTCAGGTAGTATAATCTCTGCTGGGCCCTTTTGACCAATGCTACAATGTGTGCGCCCAAGGTCAGGTCCTCTATTATGGTAACAATCAGAAACTTCAAACTGGCCACTTGCTCCACTCGGTCTCCATTGGCAAGCAAGAGCTTATCACTGAAAAATAATATGTTAGTATGAAAAAATGTGTGTTATCTTTATCTTTGTTTTATATAGTTATAGAGTAAGTCACCCAAAGTCATAAGCTTGGCAGTGTACATATATAATAAAATAAATAAATGTAGCTTGGTTAGTGTTATATAAAAAAATCACCTGTAGAGTCCACCAAGTTCTACAGTGCTAGGAAAAACAATATAAGTGCATGATACAAAATCTGTAAGTGCTTAGTGTTTCACCAGAAATTGGATGGTGGGTTATACTATTCCTGCTAGCCTTACCTATATTCATGGATTGTGGTTTAACTCAAGCTAACATAATTTTGGTGTTCGACAGGATAAGAATTGATAACATGGAATTTCCCGATACATCCTTGTCTCTCATCTCTGGAACTGGGATTAAACTATTAGTTGAAAATGCTTCAGCAATAGCTACTGCAGATTGGAGCATGGAGACCTGGCTATTGTAAGTGGAATAATGAAGGCAAGATATTAATACTATGTCAGCTTTACAAATTCAAATGCTTGAATACATTTTATAAAGTACACATAACAGTTCCAGGAAGGGGAGGTGGAAATGCAAATCTTTTATTCCATTGTGGTCCTGTCAAAAAATGTTCCCCAAAGTGGCTGTTTGAATCAGGAGGGACATTGTCAAGGCAGAAGGATGAAAGAACCAAAACTGGTGAACATACTAGACAACCACAATGCATAATTATATTTCAATTTTAAAAATCCACCAGTATTGCAAAATAAAATAAATAAATTAGGGTTATGTGCTTCTTCTTGAGTTCCTTGAAGGGTGTTGCAAAGGGATAAAAACTTCTTCCTTCTTGCAAGATAAGACAGCCTGCCTCTTGAAGAAATACATATTTAGACATATTTAAGCCTAAAAAAACTCCAACTTCTAGATTTTTGCAGGCAAATAGGAAACCCTGGATTAATTAAAAAGATACTTTTATCCAGGCTCACATCGAAAATAGGGAGAGAGAGTAAGTAAGGAGAGCAAGCAGTTAAGGGGAGCAATTGCATCCCACTGCCCTCAGTATCTGTAACCAAAGACAATGATCTTATTCTGCCTTAAATAGAACCAATTTGGAAGAATGCAGGTCTATGCCCACTGAATAAATCTCAGGAGGTTGCAGGTTGTCCTCGACTTAACAACAATTTATTTACTGGACCATTCAGAGTTACCATGGCACTGAAAAAAGTGACTTATGACCATTTTTCACACTTATGACCATTGCAACATCCCTATGGTCACGTGATCAAAATTCAAATGTTTGGCAATTGTCTCATATTTATGACACTTGCAGTTTCTGACCACCTTCTGACAAGCAAAGTCAATGGGGAAGCCAGATTCACTTAACAATCGGGTTACTAACTTTAACAATTGCACTGATTCACTTAACAATTGTGGCAAGAAAGGTTGTAAAATGGGGCAAAACTCACTTAACAAATGTCTCACTTAGCAACAGAAATTTTGGGCTCAATTGTGGTCATAAATTGAAGACTACCTGTACATTGTTTTGAGTGGGTGGAATTGCCTTTCTGGTAGGTACTTCTGGTGTATTTAGGCATAGCTTAGATTTTGCATCAACTTTCCATAACTTAGTGCTATCCAGAGATGTCAGCAGGAAATGATTGAAGTTGTGATGCATCTGGAAGGCAGGCTTTGAAAATTTTATGTTGCCTGCTAAAAAGAACCCATCTTCATATGTTCTTCAGTATAAGCAGTCCTGGCTTTTTTTTTTTTTTAATTAACTTTATTAAATTTCAAAGAGAAAAAAAATATAAAATAAAAGGAAACATGGGAGGATCAAAGTTAAAAAAACAAGAAAATTAAAAAGAAAAAGTTGATTTCTGACTTTTTTCAGTACAGATACTGAAATATATAATAAAGTAGTCTAAGATTAAAACAAAAAAGCAGAAACATCATATAAAATATACAATTTAAGCAATCAGAAGTGGAAAGATATACAAATTCCCACAACTGAAGAGTGGATTGTGGAATTAATGGAACTGGCAATGGAACCTGCAGACAAAACTGACTCCTTTGATGAAAGACAAACCCTTATCTTGCTTTGTTTCTATTTAGAGACAACCTTTGAATTCCTGTTTGAGAAAGATAAGAATGAATTTTTAATTTTTGATGATTAGATCTGTTATACATGTATTTTTACTTTGATTATTAGACATGTATATTTTATATTATATGTTTATGTTTAATCTTGGAGGTTATTTTGTTATGTAATTCTAAAGCAATCCTGGCATTTTCTTGAGAATAAGAGGGTAAAATGAGCATTTGTGTTTTATTGTCCACAGCAAAGATTCTGGAAGTGGGGCTGTCTTCATTTCAGGAGCAAATCTCACAGCAATTGTAAAAGTGTCTCAGAATATATTTGGTCATTTAAAATTGTCGCTTGAGACCTGTAAAGGAGAAGTAGATGATATGGACATCAAATTGAATCATTCTTATAGGTACAGTGGAAAATGTTCTAATTAAAAAGTATACTTGCAAGTATTGACTTTAGGATCCCTCAAACAGTTTGATTATCGGTTTTTAAACACTGGTATGTGTAGCTTTTACCGTTGCAAATAATACAAATAATATATTCCATTATACTACAGAAAGCAAGCTTAGTAATTACTGTAGATTTCTGAGACTCACTTCTGATGATCCAGCATAATTGACTGAACAAATACATGTGATTAATTTGATTAAGAAGGAAAAATATGTCTAATGGTTTTAATAAGTATCAGGAAATATAAGTCATAGGGCTTCAATCTCGAACGTATACCAGCAGTTTCTCACTAAAAAAAACACCTTTCAGATTTATTTTCAATAAATATTCTAAGTAAAAATTGGGAAACATTTAGTAGAAAACTGGTGTAGGACTTCAATTATGATTCAATCATGTTCAAGAATATTACAGCTGCTTCCCCCCCGCCCCCATAAAAAAAATACGAGGATCAGTTTAAAAAATCCAGAATTGTTTAAACATCTAGTTTTGATTAAGATTGATTTCCCCATATAATAGATGCACACATAGAACATTTAATTAACACAAGTTAATAATAATCTTGCTTTATTTCAGATGGCTGTATGCATACTCTATTGCTTCTCTGGTAACATCTCTGTGTAGCATGCTGGCCACAAATGTAAGCCACAAAGATTTATTTCATAATGTTCTCTTCCTATATCCAATTTCTTCTAAAAATGTGTTTATTGAAATAAATTATATAAATAGCAAAAGCCTTAATACATGCAAAAATGTTATAAGTATTTTGCAGTTTGCAAGTTGTGTACCATTTACATGCACAAATTACCACAAAGACATTTTCCAAACTAACCAATTAGAAACTATAAAAGGTAGTTTAATGTGGCAATGAATGTCTTCATAAGGCAATGTTCACTTGAATAAATAGGATTTATATTTATATATACATGTATGTGTGTATAAAAAAATTAGGCATGGTTTATTTTGCTTAGATCTTATAGTAGAACAGGAAGATAAGGATCCTTCAATGGCTTAAAAATTAGGTTCAATATATTTCAAATTACTGTACGTGTTATTTATTTAAAACATCTATAGAAAATATTTTCTTGTCTTTATTTTCATCACATATATACTATACCAAAAGATGAGATCATACATTTAAAATACATTACTTGAAATATTCCAAATATCTCATTTGGGATATTTGTTGTTCAGCTCCATAATCATCAGAATCATTATCATTTTTTATTTATGGATTGCTGTTGCACATTACATTCTCTGCCTCACTCTGACTATATTGAGGCACTCAATGAATGAGTGTATTCACTCTGTCAAGCAGGCTTTAGATGCTTCAGAATTATAAAGCTTTCTTCCTTTTGAAAGATATCTGGGGCCATGCTTAGATCTTTGTCAGAAACATTCTGTTTTGCTTTGTTTCTATAGATTTCATTGACAAGGGACAAAGCATTAGAGTGAGATTTATAGTACATCAGTTATGTATTTAACTGATTACAACAAATGTATTCAAATATGGATGGATTTTTAAAATCACTATTCTTCAAATATAGGATAAAGCAAGATATAAGTATAGATATACAGACTTATGAAGTCTTAGGAAGATCTTATTACTAACATATAAGTAAACATCGACTAGAATAATTATTTTTGCTTGCATTCCTATAGTTGTGTCAGCAAGTGAATTTTGTGATCCAAAAGATTAATAAAGACTTCAGCCAATATCCAGGTATATTTTCTGGGTTATTTTGACAAAATGAACTAATGATTTTAGTTTTTATGAAACTTTTCAGTTATAGTAAACTAATGATGGAATAGTTTCACCATGCTATTGTTGAGTTTCTGAAAATAAAAATGATGGCTAGAATGGTACTTTTGCATAATTAAAATATAATAATTGGTGCTTGTTTTATAGAATCATAAAATTGTAGAGTCAGGATGGACACCCAGATCTAGTCCAACCTGCTTCAATATACAGAAAGAATCAGTTAGATGGTGAATGAGAGGTGGCTTGTTCTGGTAGAACATTCTGGAGGATGCATTCTCACCAGAAAGACCAAAATTATGGTTGATGCTAAATGAACGTATAAGGCAGAAATATATAAATTTTGCAAACTTATACTTGAGTAAATATGGTTAGGGTTATGTTGAAAATATAGCTTTACAATAACTATTCAAGCAGTCTCCTGTACTAGTACCATTGCCTTTGTAAAAAAAAAAATTATCAGAACTAGTTTGCATCCTGCCTATTGTCATTAAACATCATTATCTAATCCTGACAATTTTATCCCATATCCCAACAGTCCAAGCTCATATTGATAACTTTGCAGTAATAGACTATTCCCTGATAAACTCTTCAACTATCTTGGAATCATCAATTAACTTGGATTTAAAGGTAAAGTCTAATATATTTATAGTGTATATTTTCTGAAATTGCATTATAATATGTCTGTTGTTCACATGAAGGAACAAGCATCATTTTGTCCCAACAATAACTTTGATGGCAAACCATATCAAAGAGACATTTAAATATATTAATTAGTGCTATTTTTGCTGCGCCTATGATTTCCTACTCTAGCCAGTGGCAACAGTTGTTTCAAGTTGTGAAGCCGAAATAGTCCAAGATTTCAGGGACGTCTATATGCACTGCTTTAAGTCACAGTTCACTTTTATTTCTTTTTAAATGTTTGACTTTGAGTTTTCTATGTTTAGGGTCCTAGAACTGTACTCAGTGTTCTGGCCATATGTCTTATTGCATTGTGCTCTTAATTTCAAGGATGTGTTTCAATGATCTGGTTCCCTGAAAACTCTTTTAAAGGTCAAGGTCTGCAAGCTATGATATCATTTCTGAAATTCTTTTTAGGGAACTGTCTATTCAGTGGAAGAAATCACAGAGCCCCCTTTCAAGCCAACTCCCTTTGTTCTTCTGAATGAAAACAACTCCATGTTCTATATAGGAATCTCAGAATATTTCTTGCAGTCTGCTTCAGTGGCTTACTACACTTCTGGGGCTTTTACTATCTCTGCTGAGCAAGAGGAAATGGTAAGTGCAAAATGCTGTTTCAAAGAAAGGGATGTTATGTATTTCTGCTTTGTTTCCATGGCATTGCCTTCATCCCCCTCTCCAGCTCATGAGTGAGTGAGACTTCAATTTTCCTGAACAGTGCTGGGGCTGGAGCAGAATGTTAGTCCTTGTTATGACACATTCAAATTGGAGCCTGAAAGTAAGTGGGAACAAAGGCAACAAAAGCAAGTTAGGGATTGGCAGTAGGGATAACAAATATCACAGATATAGTTTCTGTCTACTCAGGATTGAATGGACAGTACTTCTGGTCAAACGTTCATAAGGCTGCATGAGATAGGAATTAATGTAGAGAAGGACTTCATTTTGCCAAAGAGAACTGGCTGAAGAAGGGATTTGTCATGGAAAACTGGATTCAGAGGCATCCCTAGAAAGGCCTCTAGGAGTTGCAAATTGTTCTTAGTAATATGAGCCATTTTTTCCCTTCACATCTGTCTGATCTCTTGACTTTGTATGGACATACTCTATTAGCCCTCTGGAATTTTTTCCATGACAACTACATTCTGAAGTATAGGGATTCTGGAACTTGTAATTCCAACACATCTATTTATTTATAAGTGTATTCTATCAGATGACAGCTCATACAGCACCTCTTGGCTGATGTTCAAAGGAATTCCAAATGGCATCAAGCTTTAATCTTTAGTAATATCTTGAGGTTGGGGTGGAATCTAATGACTTGCTTTCATTTGTGGAAACCTTAGTACAGAACTATTTAATAGCTCCTATACCTTAATATTTCTGGGTTTAATTTAAAAACAGCTAAAAATCTGGGAGTTATACACAAGGCTCTCTCCAAATTCATCTTTGCTCATCAAACTTTCTCTCCCTCTCCCTCCTCCCTTTTCCTTGCTAATTATATTTTCTACCTTCAAATGAAAATAGAAATAATATTCTGCAGGCTTAATTTGCTTATGGCTATCATGTGTACTAAAGGCTTCTATTAAACAAGTATTTCTGAATAAAGGTTTAGCAAACTCTATTTGCTAGTAAAAAAATTGAATCAGTATATTCTTTTTTAAAAAACAGAGAAATGCATTTAAGGAGTTAAATTAAAGAATGCTGGTAAATAATTGATCTGTCCAGCCTCTGTTGGAACACATTAGGTGAAAGGAAGACCATTGTCTCTCCAGATAATTAAGTCCATACAAAGGCACACAATTTTTGTAAGATAACCTAACATGTCATTTCATTTTACAGCTTGCTTCTTATTTCAAGTTAACCACAGATGCATTGAATAGCATTATTCCCACTGTAAGTGTTTTTTATTTCTTTGAAACTTGCTGTTTGCATTTTTAAAACCCTGTTTTAATTTTTCTGAAACTTGGTCTCTACTTTTAAACTCTACAGATTTCTCATATTTATGCAAAGCCACTTCCAGTAATTATGAACTTAAGAATCATTGATGCACCCGTGATTAGTCTGCATGACAATAAATCCATTCTGGAGTTTTCTGCTTCTATGGAAGTATTGGCAAAGATGCCAAATTCAACCACTGAATCCATGTTCACCTTGAACATAGTAAGTTTTACAATATCCAGTTCTCTCTAGACCTGTTTGTATAAATATGTGAAGTTACGAGCCATCCTGCAAATTTTTCATCTTACTCAGACTAAGAGTCCCAGTGCTTGGATGTTGACTATAAAATAGTTCTCTGATTAATCTCATAACTAACTCTATTCTAAGGACAGACTATAAGTAACCCAGATGTTTTAGATTAGAACTACATTATTTTGCCTCATTTGCCCTGATGAAAGTTAAAGTTCAAAACAACTGGCTTATTTCTGTCTATATTATTCGAAAGTCACTGAAAAATTACATGTTGTTCATAGCTAATGCTTTCATTTCTAACTTCTCCAAATAAAATAAAATGAAACTTGAGAAAGTTTGGCTGCTTCAGTTGCCAGGCTGCTCTAGCAGTCACATGACCCTCCTTTTCAACATTCCGCTCTGTGACAGTTTCCCAGCCACTCTTGCAATTTCTCAGTCTCTACTCTACCTGGCAGCAGCACTAGGGAAAGGAAGGGACCTCCATGCATTCTGTTCTGTCCCCCATGCATCTTCCTCAATCTATGTGCACTTCTTAAGCATCCAAATGCATCCTTTCTAGCCCATGCTTTCCCCCAGTGTGTAGTTCCTGATTCATATGGCACCTTTCTTGACCCACGCAGTCCCCTGTGTGTTAAATATGCATGACGCTGTATTTACATGTGTTTACGTGATATGCAAAGTGGAGTCTAATGTCAGACTCCACTCATTGGTTCAGCGGCTGGCGGGAAGAATTGAATCCCCGTCAGTGGCTGAAATGTTGGACAGCACCGGCTATAAAAGTTGGCGCCTACCGCATTTGTTGGCTTTTGATTCCGGCTTTAAAATAAAGAGTTTCTTCGCACTCCTGAGTCCTGCTCCTTCCTTATCTGTGCCCATTTAACACCATGCAAGCCCTACCTCACCTGCATCTCTGTGCAGGCCCTACCCTTCTCATGCATCTCTGTGCACATTTCCTGACTTATGTGATCCCCTCATTTGTCCGAACCAACCCTGGAATCTCTTGTGCACATCAGTATATCTTTCCTGACCCATGTGGCACCTCTCATGCACTCTCACATATCGTCATTTCACCCCCACCCCCCTCACCTGACAGCAGTCACTTACCTGGCTGGCAGGCTTGGACTGAGGTTGATTTTCTCCCTGCAAGCATTCAATAAGCAAAGTAAATTGGGAAGCCAGCAGGAACTCTTAAAGAGAAGGAAGGAATTTTCAGAGTTGCAAGATTCTATTAATGTAGCTTTACAATAAAGTAAATTTAACTTATCTGATTGTGTTTCCTGTCTGATCTACCTGGTAAGGCTGACCTCAATCTTGCATGTCTGAAAGTGCAATTCTCTCACTATCTCATTTATAGTCCAAGACATTAGGGAGGGTCCCTTCAGAGCCTCTTGTCCCATCTGGTATTTAGCAGGGGGCTATGCTGTCTCTTATCCAACCATTCTTTAGGCAGTGTTCAGTTTGCCTCAAATTCCAAGGTCTTTCCCAGATACTAGTACAGCAGCTGTGTAACTGTAAAAGAATTACTTATTATATAGTAACCTTTCTTTTTCACAGACAACCAGAACTCATGCAGATTTGATTATATTTAACCAGAAGTTGCTAACTACATTGTGCTTGAACAGGTAAAAACCTTCGTTAGTTTTTTAATCCACTGTATCCCCAAAGCTGCTTAAATTGATTAATCTAGTATTTAAAAGTATGGTAGCTTAAAATAAACATTAAAAGGTAATTCTGCAATGGTATTATGGAACTGAATTTATTAAATAGAGTACATCAGATAGAGGAAGACTAATATGTAAATGTAGGAAAGAAGCTTTTGCAGTATACATGGAGTACTGTGGCCAACTCATATTTTACCTCTTTCACATTGAATCATGATGAATTACTTTAACTCTTATCAAGGAAAATGCAGTTAAGATTAGTCTTGGTTGCTTAGAAAGGGGCTCAAATTTCTGGGATTCGATATGACTATATGGCTGTATTGATGGAAATATTGTACAAAAAATCATTATTAAACAATTGGAGTAATTGTGATAGTACATAGCTCAGTTGTGAATTTAAGAATAAGATGTAATTAAAATTTTACTGTATGTAAAAAGTAAACTTATGGTTTATGGCTGAACTTTCATCAATTACACCCAGTTTAAGATAGGCAAAAAATCTCCCACATTTCATTATTCCACTGCAAACCCTTAAAAAAAAAAAACTTTTTCAGCTCAGGTGGCTCAAGAGGGGAAACTTGACAAAACTTGTCAATTTTAGTCAGCTAAAAACTTAGGAGTAAGAACCTCCCTGTTTTGAAAAAAGGTGATAAGATGCCATACACTCTCTGCTGAATCTTTATTTTATTTATTTATTTGATTTGTCAATTGTTTACAAGATAATAAGTACAAGTGTATACATAGTTGTGAATATATGAAATGGGTACATATAAGAAAAATAAAAGAATAAGAGAAACAATAGGACAGGGACGGTAGGCACGTTGGTGCGCTTATGCACGCCCCCTACAGACCTCTTAGGAAAGGGGTGAGGTCAATAGTAGACAGTCTAAGGTTAAAGTTTTTGGGGTTTGGGGAAGAGACTACAGAGTCGGGTAGAGTATTCCAGACATTGACCACTCTATTGCTGAAGTCGTATTTCCTGCAATCAAGTTTGGTGCGGTTTACTTTGAGTTTGTATCTGTTGTGTGCTCTTGTGTTGTTATGGTTAAAGCTGAAGTATTCATTGACAGGTAGGACATCTATTTTAAAAGTCCCGGATTTCAACAACTTACTGGTGGGAAGGGACAGAGGAAGGGAGGAAGGAAGGAAGGAAGGAAGGAAGGAAGGAAGGGAGGAAGGGAGGAAGGAAGGAAGGAAGGAAGGAAGGAAGGAAGGAAGGAAGGAAGGAAGGAAGGAAGGAAGGAAGGAAGGAAGGCTACAAACATGGGATGAGCTTGCCTTACCAGCAGCCTAGAGGTGGGCTAAGGATGGTATCATCTCTGCCTGATCTCCTGAAACAACGGCTGGGTTGTCCGCGCATTTGGCAAATAAGAAGTATGGATTGCCCCAGTGTGATTGATCAAAGTCATTGAGAGAAATCTGAATCCCAATCTTTCTGATCCAAGACCAACAACCCATCAGCAATGCCACACTGACATTATTATCTTTGGTCATGTATAGTAATCTCTGCATTATGTCTTCTTTCTTTCAGTTTCTACATCTCCTTGGCTCAATCCAATGTTGGATTCTTTGAGGTAACTTTCAGCCTCTCGTAAAAATTAGCAGGTGCAACTTGTAGCAGATAGAACTGAATTGCTTACAAAGTATATTCCTTTACCTTTTAAATTTTCCTCATAGAACTATTAAATTCTATAAATATACTGTCCTAATGATTGATCCCATTTTTTTCTTTTCCTTTAATTTTAACTTTTCTTTCCAATAATATTTCAGTTCGATTGCCCCCTTTCTCTATTATTTTCTTGAGAACTATTTCTCTATATAGTGTTTTATATCTAAAAAATGAAAAAGGAATTTGTGAGAAAAAAGACTGATGGGAATTCTACCACTCAATCACCATTCTTAGATTCTGCATTGAGTACCTCTTCATAGTTTTCTGTTTTCTATCTTTCTATAGGTAGTTAGTATTGTTGTATTATTATTGAGTATATTCACTCTTCACTGGACTGTTTGTAGCATACTGCATCTTTAGGGTCCTTCTGACACAGGCACACACATACACAGTCACACAGAGACATTTTATACAACTCTTGAGATTCAGCAGCATGCTTCAGGCTAGGAGTTTGAATTTTCTTCCATAAGAAATTGATGCTTCATTTTCAAGATAATTTATTTCAGTAATGCGTAAATTATTGCAACAAATAGTAGAACCAGGTTTATGAGAAATCTTATTAAATAAAAATATGCAAATAAAATAATGTGCAAATATAATATTGTATAGGGTTTAGAGAAGGGCTGCAAAAATTGCAAACAAATAATTTGCAGACTAAATAATTAAAAATTATTAGGAAACTTAGTAAGTTGCCTTCTGTATATAACATCAGGTCACTTTGCTGGTAGAATATATCACACATTGATATACTGATAAAAATAAATAATCCTGTTTAAACACTGTCATCCCAGTTCTCTTCCTGGAGAAAAGTCAACCTTTGTTTTACATTGCAGGCCTCACTTCTGGATAATTTCATGTCTTACATTTTACGAATTGGAATAATTCCAGCAGCCAATTGTAAGTGCAGCTTCATCTTTCTTCTTCTCAATTTCTCTTTCTTTAACAACTTTTGTTTTTAAGCCAGCTTCTAAAATACTAAAGACTTGTAAATAATCCTGTAAAGTCTAGCCAGCACAGCCATAAAGAAAGTTAAAATCCAACACCAGGGTGGAGGGGTAATCAAGAACTTCTAAGACTGGTGGTTAAAATGTATCGGTTATATAGCTTAGGTTTTTATCCCTGTATAACAGTTACTCAGATTTATATCAATTCCATTCATGTGATCAGTACTATACTACCTATCACTACAATTGTCCATGCTGTATTTGCAACCAAAGTCAGTGGAATCCAAACACAGAATGACAACTGCAAAAATGTGTATCTCAAAGCCTTTTCTGTCTTTAAAATGAGCTATAATATTAAATTTCTTTAAGAAATTAGAAACTACTTTCTGCAAAATAAAAAATAAAACAAATGTTAAAATGTTCATATTCAAGCAATAATACACAACATATTCAACTGTAAGATTAAGGAACATATGCAATTGCAAAACCTATTCTAGTCATAACTACTCTGAATCGTTTTATTTCTCTCTTTTTTCTGTTTTAAGTTAAACTAAAGGATGGATTTCCTCTGCCTGTCTTGGACCAAATAATTCTTATGAAGCCCAGTATTAGAATTTATGAGGTAAGATTTGCTAATGTCTATTCTTATCTTATACCCTCATGGGGAAAAATAAAAGATGATTAGGATGATGTATTTCGATTAAATGATATTTGTCAGAAAGTTGTCATGCGCTTCCAATACAGTGAGTTTCTCCATGAAGGAAACTCCAAATTTGAGATATAAACAAATAAATGAGTTTTCTGTATGTCCTATTCAGAGCCCCTTTATGAACGAACATACATATTGTATAACACATATCTCAGAGGTGGGATCCGACAGGGTTAACTACCGGTTCGATGATTTACGAGGTTCAGTGATGTGCTTCCCTGCACTCTGCGCTGGCGCACCTGTAAATCGTTATCAGCACACTGCGTGCAGAGAAGCAGCCTTTGAAAAAGCCCTTTTTTCCTGCTTTTTTAACTGCAGCTGTGCCTCATTTGGCAGCTGAAGTTGAAATAATCAGGAAATAAAGGTCAGGTAAAAGCCCAGGTGGGCGGGTGGGCAAAAACATCAGCAGACATAGAACCGATTCTATGTCTGCTGCTCTTCAGAGCTACCAGTTCTACAGAGGTGGACAGAACCGGTAGAAACCCACCCCTGACATATCCACAAATTTGTACTTCTGTAACTAAAATAGTTATAGTATTTATCAGTTTACAGCTGCCCAACTCACCCGCAGTTACTCCATAATACCAATGACATGAGTTTTTATTTCTTTTTGTCAATCATAAGCTACTTATTTCTAGAATTCAATTCACAAAAGAGTGAGAAGTGAGATTTCTAATAATCAAGCTGTTATAAAACTGCAATAAAATATGTTTTTGTATATCTTCTTAGGGTTTCTTGCTGATTTCTACTGATATTCAAAGTCTACGATAACAAGGAAGATCTTGACCTCCAGGCAAACGTTGACTTTTTGTTTTATTATACATGCATAAAATGCATAAGAGCTAATATGGATTTGTGAGTGAGCGAATAGGTGAATGAAATGTTTAATAGTTCAACCAGAAGTTCAGAAACACAGAGCACATTGGTTTAAGATAGCAACAAATTGAAGATGAAAATATTGACCCAACACTGTCACAACTATACTATATTATCAGGAGTGGGTAATGTTTTCCCAGTGCCCCAAAATGGAGCTTTTCCATTTTGGAGGCAAAATTAACCAGTGTGATTTTAGCCAGGAGATAAAATGGTATTAAGTGCAGAGATAGTACAGTAGACTCCTGCTTCTAAGTCTACCTTAATCCTACCCCCAAATCCCCCCCCACACCTTTCAGGGACATCACAATAACACTTGATAGCCTCTTGTGGCCTTCTCTAGTCTCCAGCCTTCCTCCTCCTATATATTGCCTATCCCTGTTATATATGGCCAAAAGATTTCTAATTCTAGTATATTATGTGAAATGACAATTTAATTAGGAAAGTTGAAGAATTTGAGAGTTTTGCAGTACTGTTAGAAACTTTGTATTAGAAATACCATTATTTATTTATGTTCCTTCCTTCTTGAAGTGGAAAAAATCATGTAAACTTATGTAATATTTTATTGAATTTGTTACCTGGGTTCAAACAAGCCAACGTTTTTAATATGGTTACAACACACTAGATTAAAAAGAAATCACAATGTAGTTTAGTATGATAAATGAATTTAATTTCTGTGTAAGAAAAATCTTTGATAATGGTTAACTCTACAACGACCAGACTTGGCTGCAAAAATGTGGATATCAGCAAAAAGATACACAACTTTTTCTTTTTCTTTCTTTTTTCTCTTTTCTTTCTTTTTTCTTTCTTTTGCAAATCTACAAGCTATGGCAAACCTCAAATCTGTTTTTTGTATTTAATGAATACTGCCCTTGGCTAACTGGTTACTTAGCAACCATTCAAAGTTGAATGGTTGAAAAAGGGGACTTACAATCCAGATCCAAAGTTCTGACAGTCGCCTTCTCAACTCATGTGGTCACAATTTGGGAACTTGGCAACACAGTCACTTTTATATCTATTTGCAGTGACTGCATTTTTAAAACAGTAAAATTAGCATTTACTCCCAGTTTTCAGCAAAACTGCGCTATAGCGAACAATGGGTTTGCTTAATGACTGCTTAAAGGCAGCAAAGCTTGTTTAATAACCATTGTAAAACATGTCGTAAAATTGGGTTGGTCATCCCTTATATGTAGCCTTTTGCAACTATATTCACCAAATGAGCAGAAAATTCTGGTTTTAAATTTGGGAGCTGCAGTTTCAACTCAGCACGACTATCCTGTCTGCCTTCATCTGGATTCACAACATACAGAAAAGTTGGATGGTCATGGACCAGATGCGGACCAGAACTAAAACAGCACAACATCAGCAAAGATGCATATTGCACATTTTTCAAAATATGCCTTGGAATTGACACACAAACTAATTATGTGATTTAATAGAACTGCTCAGTTTCCTTTGTTTTTTCTTGAATTATGGCATGAAAATGGACACTTTACCTTAAGGGAAAACATGTTCCTGTTTTTTAAAAAAAGATCCCAAAATTCGAAGCCAACTTTATAATGCTCATGAAAGAGTGATTTGTGTTGCAGATCCCAGCAGCTCAATTTTCAAATATCAAAGGACAGCTGATGAGGGTATCTCATGTTTTCATTCACATTCACACCAAAATTTGGAGATGATAAGAGGTGCACAGGGAGGCCTAGCAGAACACAGGGAGGCCTCATCTTCTAAAATAGTTTTCACTGCTGGGTATATGAGCATCAATCAGAAAACCCTTGCTTCTGAGCAGCTGCTTTATATTGAAACATTTAATTACCACAAATGCAGAAAATATTTTGATGGCTGAAATTCATCCCCTATTAAAAATAATCAATGTGTACTATATTGCAACAAAACATGGGACATTGTGGCAATTCATCATCATATGAATTCCTGGATTACAGTATCTCTTTTATCATGTTTACATATCCCATGAAATCTTATAGAGTTAAATGCCATTCCCCAACAACTGATGTATAATTATAGAAAGCCACCTTTTAATGAAAGTACACCTAGAGTCGTGACTGGGCTGTTTCTCCTCATTCAAAAGTGTATTCCCACATTTTCCCCATTTCACTCTCATGTCCGTTTTTGTTTCATCTGATATAAGACAGCACGCAAAAACACCGACTTTTAGTTGTTTCTAACTACACAGAGAGAGAGATGGGGAGAGGGACAGGGACAGGGACAGGCAGGCAGACACACAAAAGGAGCTATCTGACTTCTGTTTCAAAACTACAGAAGCGAAAACTCAGAAGCAAAGACGCAGAGCTTCGGGTGTCCCTTCATTTCCGTCCAGCGGTCGCCCGAGTTTTCGCAGCGTTGCTCCAGTTATCCTAAACGGAGCCTTTTCGGCCGCCGTAAGATTTCCTCTCGGTCTGGCAGAGAATTGGGGCGGCGTCATCTCGGCCTCCGTACTGGCGTAAGTGAACGTGGCCGGGCTTTGCCGAGAAGTACCTGAGGGAAAAAACGTTTTTCTGTTATAGTTACTTGGGAGCGTTTGCTTGCTTTTCGCCATGAGTCGAAACTACAACGATGAATTGCAATATTTGGATAAACTGGATAAGAACTGCTGGCGCATCAAGAAAGGATTTGTGCCCAACATGAACGTGAGTTGCTTTAGAGGCGCTTTTCATCGCTAAACTTCGTTCTGAAGTATTTTAGTGAATAGCTAAAAGCTGCCCCGAGTGCCCTTCATTCCTTTGGGCGATCATTCTGCCAATGCGATAAAGATGAAATTAATGACGAAGGCCCACTTGCTTGGTCCTGCTCAGTTTTTAACCGTGTTAAACATAGTTTATATATGATTTTAACCTACGGCGGTGCATACGATTGCATTTTATTATTTTGTATAATTAATCAAACGATATTGGCTCAAAGGATGAAAGGCGATTTATCATTATAAACAATGCATCTAGAATTGCCAGTTTCCTGCTGGGGAGAAATTTGATCTGTAAATGTAGCTAATCAGAGTACCAATTGTGCTATTGGTAATTTTTTTAAAAGTTGGTTATTTACGTGATTCAAAATATTGACATTTGTGGTTATTTAGGAAGCTTCAGACCAACAATCAAGTAAACAATACCCTAGTCAAGAAACTGCCAAAGAGCCATCAGCAAACAGGCAAAAAAATCCCTTAAGACCTCCACCCACACAGACAAACAAGACACTAGAATATAAACTGACAGCAAACAGAACTCCTTACTAGCACTGATGATGTTACCTAGTTTGGGTAATGAAATGTCTACAAGACAAAAACGTTCAGAGAGCACCAAGGATCCCTTATTAGGAAGCTGCCCCTAAACCAGCAATCTTCTCTGGCACAAGAAACAGGTTTTGTGGAAGACAGTTTTCCCACAAACCACGATGGGCAGGGGGAATGGTTTCAGGCAAAACCTAGATCCCATGCATGCACAGATGAAGTTTTCCTCGCTCCCCCGCTGCTTGTACCAGTACCAGTCCACAATCCAGAAGCTGGGGACCCCTGCTCTTTCAACAAATCTAAATCTTTACTGGAACGTATTTTTAAAATAACCACAATTATGGAAGCATTCTGCTTTGCATGATACAGTTACTTATTCGCCAATATTTGTTTAAATGGTGACTCTTACTTCTGAATATGTGGTCCATTTTCTAATTTTCTTCTTTTTGTCTCTAGGTGGAGGGTGTGTTTTATGTGAATGACCCTTTGGAGAAGTTGATGTTTGAAGAACTAAGAAATGCATGCCGAGGTGGAGGTATGTTTCAGTTTTCAATTGCCTGTCTGAATCTCCTTGTTTCCCTATGCCTCCAATATTTGTCTCCTTTAAATCTGTCACATATTCCACAAATACATCCAGAAATCCAATAGAGCTTCTACTGTGCTTAGTTATCATAAATATGTTGTGGTTAATTAAAAGTATTTAGAAGACTGATAGTAAGTCTTATTTTTATCCTCAACAGGCTGCTCGGATAAACATATTTTTTAAAAAGGCCTTGGTTTATGAAGAATCATTGGTTGGACATGAGAAAATAACCATTTGCTCTTTAGTTCTGCTTGCTTAAATGTAAAGAGATGTACCCTTTAAATTCCAACTTTGAATTGATACAGGATATTTTATGCCCAGTCTACCTCATGTTTCATAATATTTTTATTTTCTATAGGCCTAGAATGTGAAATATGCCTGTGATTGTAGTTATAGTCCTCTATAAGTGTATCTAGGAATAAGCCTTAAATTCATCATTCATAATTCCGAGGAAATGTTAAGAGAATAGCCCTGTTCTTTGTCCTTAAAATGTTGGTTCTGAGTTACATTTTCATATGAAACAGGAAATTAGTTTCCACCTTTTTTTTTTAGGTGCTGGTGGCTTTCTTCCAGCCATGAAACAAATTGGCAATGTAGCTGCATTACCTGGTATTGTTCATGTGAGTCCTTGTTATTTTAAATCCAGAATAAAACCATTATATGAAGACTTTACAAAGTATTCTTCTATGTAATAAAGTGTTTCAAGAATAGTTAGAACTATTGCTTCAAATAGAAATAAGAATGTTTTCCAATAGAAAAGAATACATGTAGCTCAGGGTTGAACTGTGAAGCCTTTAGTGCAGAAGTGTCATGCCTGATTTAATTGAGTGCCACATTAGGGTTGTGCTTGACCTTGGGGGGCTGGGGTGGGTGTGGCCAGCTCAGTGTCACTTGTGTCAGGGGTGCCTATGGCAGCCCAAGCGCTCTGCTAGCAAAAACAGGCTCCTGAGCTCCATTTTCGGCCTCCTGCAACCCTCTGCCAGCAAAAACGGAGCTCAGGAGGGTCACACACAGCCCTCCCTAGCTCCCTTTTCACTGGCAGAGGCACTGCAGACTGGTCATTTGCTGTTTCCAGGGCCAGATCAAATCACCGCACAGGCCGGATCCAGTCCCCGGGCCTCGTTGATACCTCTGCTTTAATGCTTCTGAACTTTGCTTGCTTGCTTGCAGATATTTAATTATCCAAGTAGGTACCATCATCAGTGCAAGAATGGATGATGTTACCTAGCTGGATAATGAAACATCGGTAAGCAAACAACCAAGTTCAGAATTACAAAGGACTCCACAATAAGAATATTGTCAGCCTTTCCTATCCTAAAAGTTTGATGTATAAATTCAGATACTCAAGGATGTGATGGAAGTAGAGGGCTTACATTTGCCATTAATTCTTTCAATGAAATTAGATATTTATTTGCAGTTTGTCATTTTGAATATGGTACACCCCTTGATATAAATGTTGAAATCTTCTGCTTTTGGATGCTGTGCAATGGGAATGTTACGGCCTAGGATTACTTCATAGCATAGGAATGTCATTCATATTTATTCTGATATTGATTGCCTTTCTTTTCCCATTTTTTATACCAAAATTGTATTTCAGCGATCTATTGGACTTCCTGATGTTCATTCAGGGTATGGCTTTGCTATTGGCAATATGGCAGCCTTTGATATGAGTGATCCAGAAGCAGTAGTTTCACCAGGTATGGACAGCTGTAGTTGGTATCCATGTGGAAAGAAAACCTTTAGGTACCTCCAAATATGTGTTAGATGTATCAGGCTCCAATACAAAGGGCAACTGTACAGAGATACTGTTAACCATTCTTTATAATAATAATACTTTATTTGCGGTCACAGACCAAAACACAAGTACAACAAAAGAAGGACATGGAAAAATTAGTCATGAACAATTGGTCACCAAAAACTTGACTAAGGGGAATTACAGCGTTCTCTGATGGTTACAGCTGTTAAAAAAAATTGGAAACCAAAGAAGTGATATATGAGGAGCCATCCCCTAGACAATATAAGAACCAATTACTAACATTGGGTCTAGAAGGGTCTGTTTCAAGGAGAGACAGTAACTTAGATCTGTCTGCGTTATACATAGGGCAATATAAAAGGACATGCTCCACAGTTTCAATCTCAGCTCTGTCACAGGGGCATAGCCGCTCGTTAATCGGGAGCCTCTTAAATCGCCCATCCAGTAGTGCTGAGGGCAAGACATTAAAGCGAGCTAGGGAGAAAGCTCTTCTATACTTGGGAATGGTTAGAGTGTAAAAATAGGAAGCCATCCTCAGTCCGTAATTATTAAATTGGCTGAAGATCAGAGGGGAGCAAGTTTTGTTAGCTCTGGCTCGTAGATATTGCAAGTCAATGTCCACAAGCCGTTGGACTACCCTAAATTGGGCGTCCTTAAGGCCATAATCTCCCAGGGCATCCCCCGTAAAACCTAGCAGGTGTAATTTCTTCATCAGCTCCCTCTCCCAACGAGATATATGAGAGTCAGCAGGTGTAATTTCTTCATCAGCTCCCTCTCCCAACGAGAAATATTAGAGTCAGCAAACGCCAGGGAGAGGTAGGTACCAGGAACTGCCAGAAAGAGCACCTGAAACCACCAATGTTAACCATTCTATGTAAGTAACAGTTGATTGGTGATATGTTCTGTAGTATGTTACATTTTCAACAGTTAGGCAGTTTTTAGTTCTAAGGCCAGAAAGACTTAATTATCTAAACAATTTACAGTGCAGAAGCCATATTTTTATTCTGGGTTGACTTGAAGAAACAGGTGGAAATTTTTCCACTATACATATGCTGGCCAAAGCAAAATGCTCTCATTGATTATTATTTTTTAGGACAAAGTCTATTTATTAGATTTATCTTAAAATAACAAGTACTTGTATTGCAAAGTTCTATGTTAAGCTGAAATATCTGTCATGAAGTGTGATTATATGGATGACCTATGACGAAGTGTATCATTTCAGTATGTTTACCCTGAAATTAGTGCAAAGTAGTCCTGTTCTTTCCATAGCACTAGCAATAGCACTTAGACTTACATACCGCTTCATAGTGCTTTACAGCCCTCTCTAAGCGGTTTACAGAGTCACATGTTGCCCCCAACAATTTTGGGTCCCCATTTTACCCTCCTCGGAAGGATGGAAGGCTGAGTCAACCTTGAGCCTGGTGGGATTTGAACTGCCAAATTACAGGCAGCCGACAGTCAGCAGAAGTAGCCTGCAGTGCTGCACTTTAACTATTGCGCCATCGAGGCTCAGTTGTTTCTATGTAATACAAATATAGCACTTAGACTTGTATATACTGCTTCATATATTTCTTTTTCAGAATACCGAACTATATAAAGTTTACTGAATGTAACTAATTATAGCTGTGACAAAAATGCAGTTGATTGCAATGATGAGTCCTGAGTTTTCTGAATTCATATTCTGATTGAGTAATTGAGTATTTTGAGTTCATAATATTAGCAACTGCACAAAATGACTTCTGGAGCTAGATTTTAAAAGGTATGTTTTGGTTACTCACACAGGAGGTGTAGGGTTTGACATTAACTGTGGTGTTCGATTACTGCGGACCAACCTTGATGAGTGTGATGTCCAGCCGGTGAAGGAGCAGCTTGCACAATCCATGTTTGACCACATTCCTGTAGGGGTGGGATCCAAGGGTGTCATCCCCATGAATGCCAAGTAAGAGCTATTTTTTCTCTCGAATGTCTGCATTATTGCTTCATTTTTGAAGGGAAAAGTGGCAGAAGGAAAATGAAATAACTTGCAAATCTGTTGAGTAGCAAACATGTAAACATGCCAAAATGTTTTCCAGTTATTGCTATGTAGCTGTTTGTAAGCTTTGCTAAAGTTAATCATCATATATCTAGAGGACTTTTATTTCCATAATTCTGTTTTAACCGGGAATTATGTTTATGCATCTGGAGGGCATCCAGATACATAAAAGTTGTCTTAGTGCAAACTCACCTTGTAGTTTGGTGGTAATATCTACTAGTAGGCTCTATGTTTCAACCTACCACTCGTTCTTGTTATGATGCTAATAATTTTACTCATTTAAGAACCATGATTTTTAGTCCTAAAATATTTTGGGGTATCATGAAAAGATTTGGGATTATAACTGATTGCCACAATATATTTCTCAGCCGCCTTAATTGTCAGAGTGACTCCTTAGTATGTATGCAGTGGTCAGCTGGTTCGAGGGCATCAGCATGGAAATGGGTTAAAATCTGTAAGACAGTGATATCTGGGCATTAGACTCCTAAAAATCTCTGAGCTAACTCTCATAGGATGTCAGATCTGCCATCTTCAGCTTCTACGCTTTGCTGGCATCCTACCATAAAATTCAAGGAGAGTGGCGGGGAAAGACATGGGAATGTGAAGATAAAACAATGGAAGGGGGAGAGAGCCTTGACAGAAACCAGACGTGCCAAGCCAAAGTAAACCAGCCACCAAGGACACCTGGTTTGGGAACAGAATGTGAAATTGCATCAAATGGTGCAAAACAACCAAGCGGTTCCCAAAATATCTAAACAGCATGCTATTGGACACTGATGGTCAAAGGGGGCGGGGCAGCCAAACAAAGATAAAAAGTGTAACCTTTGCATGGGAATATTCAGATCTAGTCTTACTTTCACTGCAACCATTAACTTTAGCATAAGAACCTATCACTTCAACCAAATGGAGTCGAGGGTCTTTCCTAAATATCTGAGTTGGGGCCGGCCTGACATAGGAAGACATCAGGGGACCTTTTAAAAAAAATGTAGTTGGGGACTGGGACCAATTAGAACAGCCCAATCTGATGCCACCAAAACATGCCATGTTTAAATTGACACTTCCCTGTTGTTTTTCCTCGAAGTTCATTATCTTCTCTAGAGCTGCTCCTATGCTTGCCAAATCTTTAAACATTTGCTGCATTGCAGTCCTTTTGCCCCTGTAAGGTGAGGAGAAAGGAAACTTTCCAACCTATCTAGCTTCTTGTTTTTCTTTTTTGCAGTGTGAGAATGATAACTCTGAATTTAGTCACTATTACTTTATAGAGAGAAATGAAAATGAACCTCAATCGTTTGAAAGTATATTTTACATAGTTATCTATGTTCTAATTGCAACAGTTTTCTACTCAAAGCTTGATTTAAAAGATTTACATGGCCACCCACCTTACAGAACACAATTCTGGGTTGGTCAAAATGATAAAACAAAAACAAAAAACAAAATATTAAGCACCTAATCCATCATATCAGTGCATCAATGCAATCCTGAGGCTTCAACTTTACCCTATCCCATCTGGGAGAAAAGCCAGCCCTTTTCAGCTTTTGGGAAAGCTAAAGTTGGGGTTGGGGGGCAGCTGCCAGATCCCAAGGGAAAGGTAGTTCCACAGGGCAGGGCTTTTTATGGAAAAGGGATGCTTTCTACTTTTCACTATATGACAACACTTGAGCAGTGGAACCTGGGGAGTATTTACACTTTGAGTAATGTGATAATTGTGAACTAAGATGTAGGAGTGAGTCTGTGGTAACTTTCATTCTGTATTTGTTTGTGGTCTCCTAATTGGAGTGTCTTTCATTCTCAGGGACCTGGAGGAAGCTTTAGAGATGGGGGTAGACTGGTCCTTACGAGAGGGCTATGCCTGGGCTGAAGATAAAGAGCATTGTGAAGAATATGGGAGGATGTTGCAGGCAGATCCAAATAAAGTGTCGGGAAGAGCTAAGAAAAGAGGTTTACCTCAGGTAATCGGACTAGATATAATTTTGGGTGATCATTGCTGATTTTAATTTAATTTAATTTTAATTTAATCAGGTTGATTTTAATAATATTGAAGCACACCAGAACAATATCCAGAAATTTGATTAGCTGATGTCATGGTTCAAAAGATAACTCATCCACCTTTGGTTTTCATGGCTGAGGGTGGAGTTAGACCTGGTTCTCTGCAGCCCTAGTCTAGCATCTAACTGGCTCTTGCACTGATTAAGGACTTCACTTTGTTGTAATGAAATTTCACCTTTTGATTGATTAGCCTTAAATATTTTCTTTTATTTTTGTTTGATTTGGTGATTCACTATTAACTGATTTTTTTAAAATTTACATCTGATCTGATCTAATGTTTTGATTTTAGTCTTTAGGAAACATACATTTTAAAAGGAGCTTAACTGTTCAGAAAATAAAGAGAATCTTTTCCCATTAATATCTGGAATGTGAAAGTAATCTCCTTCTATTAATAAGACGAAGGGATGTAAGATTGCTTTAATTTTCCAGAGTTTCTAATAAATATCACAAGTCTTTCATTTTTCGTGTTGGGAAAAGCTAAGTTCTCCTATTCTGTTTAACAGCTGGGGACTTTGGGAGCAGGAAACCACTATGCTGAGATACAGGTGGTGGATGACATTTATAATGAATATGCTGCCCGAAAGATGGGTATAGACCATAAGGGACAAATATGTGTGATGATCCACAGTGGGAGCAGAGGCCTTGGCCACCAAGTAGCTACAGGTATGTGGCTAATGCCCTTTTGTGTTATTGAAATTAAATATGACTATCCAGCGTAATATTAGAGCTAGTTTCTATGGCAAAAACT